AACAAGATTGCTATACCACATAAATACTCGTATACATTAAGGGGCGTTTGGTTCACGAAATGTTAAATTATTGTATTTGGTAAAAATTGGGCTATATAAAATGACAAGGTAATTTAACATTACCTAAGTGTAGCAATGGAATCACATTTTCTCAAAAAAAAAAAAAAAAAAAAAAAATCTGATGTGGAGGCAATATTTGATTCTGAGAGAATATTATATAACTTCAAGAACGCCTCCACTAAAACTCAATCTCATGACCTCCCACAAGTGAAAGATCACTACATGCCATGAAAACAAGGTGCTTGTCAATATCAATTTTAGTTAATTTCTCATGCCACTCATATTGCTGCATCGTAAAAAAACCGATTAACTAGGATTGAATTCAAAAAATTAGGTAAGTGATTTGAGTTAAGTATGAGATCAAACAATAGTTATGCTGTGCAATCGAATGCACCATGCGCATGCTGCATACGATACAAAACGATGTTGTTTTGACTAAAAACGCGCGTCTCACTTTAAAAAAAAAATCAGATTCGGTTCTCGGCAATAGCATTATTGTGGATATATAGTTATGAATTTCTGGATATATAGTTATGAATTTCTGGATATTTAGTTCATTCATTGTGGATATTTAGTTCATTCATTGTAGATATTTACTTCATTCATTCACTGTGGATATATAGTTATGAATTTATGGATATATAGTTATGAATTTCTGGATATATAGTTATGAATTTATGGATATTTAATTCATTCATTGTGGATATTTAGTTCAATCATTGTGGATATTTAGTTCATTCATTGTGGATTTTTACTTCATTCATTCACTGTGGATATATAGTTATGAATCTGTGGATATATAGTTATGAATTTATGGATATATAAAAATGCTATTGCCGGGAATCGAAACTGATTTCTTTTTTAAGTGGGACGCGCGTTTTTTTAACCAAAACGACGTCGTTTTGCATCGTATGCACCATGCACATGGTGCATTCGGTTGCACAACATAATTTGCGGAGATCAAAGGCTTTGAAAGTTGACCAAAATTTAATTAAATTAGTCTCATAACGTTGTAACTTGTCATTTTGGACAAACTTGTCTTTGAACTATTTATTTTACTGTATTTAAATGTTACAAAAAAAAAAAAAAGAAAAAAAAAAGATAAACTTTGCAAATTGATTGCTTTAAGAGCCCGTAAATTTTGTATATTAACGGGTCAACATATTAAACCTATTAAGAACCCGTTTACACAAACACGTTTATAACTTGCTAAAAATCGTTGTGCTTTAGGTAAAAATCATTGTCATGAATGAGATTACAAAAGATATCATGAACTTGACTAAGAATACATTTACTACATTAAGCTAATATCCTACACTAATTATTGATGTTCAACAATCTAAAATTAAAATTTTTATTATGTTCAATTTTATTCTAAAACTTAGTATGGACTTCTTTATTATGATTTTTGGACGTAATTTTATCATTTTATTAATGTTATAAATTGAATATGTTTTTTTGTTTGTTTTTTGGATTGAATTGTATGTTTTATTTCTTTTTAATATAACTTAAATTTAAATTTTAGTTTTTAAATATAGTAATAGGGTTTAGCACTTTAGCGGGCTTAAACGTGTTTCGTGTCATATCATGCCGACACGACCTGAAACATGTTAACAAAATGTGTCTATCGTATCAATATGTTTAACCCGTTAACAAATCGTGTTTTTGTTAAAAATTTAAACTCATTAACCTTAACGTCACATGTCTGTGTTTAGTCTTATTGTGTTTTGTCATTATCGTGTCGACCCGTTAACAAATTTGTATACACAAATTGTCAGGTTTTAGAGTCCATGACCCCTTTTTTAGAGCGTATAAGGGGAGGTCGAATTCCAAACATTTTCTCTCGAGTATACCCGTTACCAAAAAATGGACGTCACTTTGGGACACATGCGGATAGCCCCCCGCTTGGCTAAAAGTAAGCCAAAAGAGCTCAAACTCTTTTTTTTTTTTTTTTTTTTTTTTTTTTTTTTTTTTTTTTTTTTTTTTTTAGTTCCACTAAGAAATTCTTTGATAAGAAAATACGCCACTCTACGAGGGAAGTCATCGGGTTGAGTCTTTGCGAGTTCATCTGTTCAATATACTTTCTCTATCAGTTATAGTTCAATGAGTCAATACCCCACCACCAGAGTCACAAATGTACCAATTGTGCACAAAATGTTTAGCTTTATGTCTCTATATATCTTACACCGTAATGATTCACATTCCACCATATATTCATTTTAATATATTAACTTTTATTTTAAAAAAATAATTTTAGGTATGCAACGAGTAACTTTTAACTACACATGAGAATTAAATTGAGAGGATGTTGATAAAAAATTAATTCATGACATTTCAATATGAATTTTACCTTCTCTGCCATTCTTTTTGTGACTTTGAATATACGGAGTATTTTTTAATATACTGTAAGTTATTTTTGAATAGTTTATTAAAAGTAAAAATTTAAAACATAAATTTATCATATCCTAAAAAAGAATATATATATATATATATATATATATATATATATATATATATATATATATATATATATATATATATATATATATAACATTGCATCTACACATTATAATGATTGGTTTCTCACAAGGTTCATGCGTAGTATTTTATCTACTTTACAAACATTAGTTTGACACGAATAATAATACAAAAGTATTACTTGCTGCACTGGCACCGCCTGCAGAGCTGCCAAATTGTAGCACAAAGTCCGACTGCCTGTCAATATCGAAATTATGTACTTCTTACATGTTACTCTATAAAAATTTTCTTACATTTTTTTTTTGGAGAAATTAAAATACATCTTTATCTAATTAATTATAGTCCTTAATAATTTAAGTTAATTCAGTTAATAAATACTATACGTAGTATATAAAAAAGTATTAATTGACATAGACTATGTTGGAAATTATGAAATTTTTGACCACCTGAAATTGATCTTAAGTCAAGTCGAAAACAAAAAGTTGTCGGAAATAGCAATAAAGATTTTTCCGGATACCAAAAGTGATCAAAACAAGGCTTTCGACTTGACTTAAAATCACTTTCAGGTGGTCGAAAATTTCATAATTTCCAACAGTAAGATTACATAGATAGCACTAGGTAATGACATGTAAAATTTATTATATTATTTATTTATTTAATTATTTTTTAGCATTTTGTGTGTGTTTAATAACTTTTGTTTAATATAGTGTTTAAAGATATAAATTTAATATATTAATATAAAAAATTTTAAATAAAAATACTTTTAGTCAAACTTCGTTAAATGAATCAGACATATAAAATGGAACGGATGAAGTATTCATACTACGTGTACTCTCAATTCATATTTAATGTGGGCGTTGATAAACTACTTTTTTCATGCGAGTCTAACTGTCTAAGTCAGAGTGTTTATATAAAATATTTGAGAGTGATACTAAAAATTGAGAGTAGAGAATGAAAATTCACTTAGTATTTTTTATTTATTTTTTTAGTGTAATAGGTGTTATCAACTCTTGCAACACTAGTATTAAATACAATCAAATATACCATATATAGGGGACAACCACAACCACGTTGATCATACTATTCACTTATTAATCACAAAGTTTCAAGTTTGATTTCATGAGAGCAGTCTATTGACCTTCTTAGTTTAAGAGATTCAGGTATATATGAGCATCTAAGTTAATTCTAAGTTAGTTTAACTCCTTGTGATCATTACCAATGACAACGGCTACAGAATATACCAAGCGCATACCGTTAATAGTGACTGCAAATTTCACTCGTTACTAAAAAATATATATACATTATAACATTATTGTATTTAATACTAGCCGCATTGTATCAATTCACATTGTAATTTTTTTTTTGTTTTTATTACACATAAGTATACCCAATACTATTGGTATGTGTACCAATCAACTTTGTGAAAAAATTCTTGTAATATTATATCAAGAGGGGAATAATATTATATCATCATTGGTTATTTGTGGACTTATAAGATTTTAATCTCAAAATTTTAATATATAACATTACATTAAAAAAAAAAATCTGAAGTAATATATAAACTTGGGGAAAATAGGTAGGGGTAAGAAGAAAGAAAAGGCAAAACCACCTTAAGGACACTACGCTGCACTGCACCTCGATTTGATCGCTCCTTCTCCCTCTCATCTACGCTCACACGCACTCTCCTTTCTTTCTCTCTTTCTCACTCTATCTTTGTATGTATGTATGTATGTATCTAAGTTCGCCCCAAGAAACCCAAAATTAGGATTACATTTGTTGCAGTAGTAATGGCAGCCAAGCAGTGGCTTTCATCTCTCTCACCAAAGGGAGAGTTTAGGCAGTAATGGCAGCAGTGGTTTCAGTTGCAGTGCAAGAAACCATAATAAAAAGAGAAGAGAGTTTTTCATCGGGAAGGTAAAGTTTTTGCCTCCCCCCCTCCCCCTCCCTCTGTCAACCCCGCGTGCACTCTATTTATCTCTCAGACTCAAGATATAGAGAGAGAAACAACCAAGCAAGAGAGAGAAAAAAAGGATTATTTTTACAACCCATAATTGAAAAAAGAAAGTGTGATATATATATATTGAGGTTTTTGTGTGAGGACTGAGGAGGAAAAAGAAAAAGAGAAAAGGGGAAAAGATGAACAGTGAGTAAAACTGGCTTTTCTCTCTTTATCTATCCATCTGTGACTGTGAGCCCTTCTTTCATCAACTACAACAAACAAACCTGACTGCATATACTATGCTGCCATCCACTGTTTAATTTAGGATTTTTTTAAAAAATTTTTTATTTGCTTCTTCTTTTTGTAAAGCCTGAAATCAGTAAGCTTAAAACTCGGGAGATCACTGCCTTAGCCTTCCCCAACATCCATAAAGACACCACATGAAGCCATAAAAGATTAGGTCATAGCTTTTCATCACTTCTTCCTCTCTACTATACACACACTGTTCTAGAGAGAGAAAAAAATGGAGGGTGGTGGTGGTTCTATTGCTTCTTTGTGCCCCATGATGATGATGATGATGCCGCCTTCTAGCAACGACCAAGACAACAACAATAGCAATCAGAATAACAACCCCGGTTCAGGCGAGGCTTCCGCAGGTTATTTCATGGATAACAACAACAATGGCGGCGGCGGCGGCGGTGGCGGTGGGGAGGAGGGGAAGTGTTCTTCTTCTTCTTCTTCTGTGAAGGCCAAGATCATGGCGCATCCTCACTACCACCGCCTCCTGGCCGCCTATCTCAACTGCCAGAAGGTGAGACAGACATCCTTAAACAAACAAAATAACGAAAAAGAACAGAGGGTTTCTAAAAAATTCTAATTTGCTGTCGTCTGTTTCCTTAATTTAGACCTAAACGGTCGCTCTCTCTAGATAAAAGAGCATATGGTTTTCCCTTTTAGAAGTTTTGCTGAAAGGGACACTGCTTCTGCAACTAAGCAGTAGAGATAATGAGATCAAACCTACTTATATACGTATATACCCATCCACACGCATATGTATAATAATATTAATATATATACATACAGATTGGAGCTCCTCCGGAGGTGGTGGCCAGGTTGGAGGAAGCTTGCGCCTCCATGGCCGCCATGGGCCGTACCGGCGGCAGCTGTCTCGGTGAAGATCCGGCGCTTGACCAGTTCATGGAGGCTTACTGTGAAATGCTCACAAAATATGAACAAGAACTCTCCAAACCCTTCAAGGAAGCCATGCTTTTCCTCTCAAGGATTGAATCCCAGTTCAAGGCTCTCACCCTTCCTTGTTCCTCTGAATCTGCAGGTGAACTGAACTATCTTTCATTTCTTCTCAACTAATTCCTCCTAGAGTTTATTAATTACCTGATCTGAATCGTCCTTCAGATTTACCCACAATTTCCCACTCGGGAACCAACTGAATCTATCTTGTTTAGACTTCTGCATGTTGCATGTTTCCAAGAACACGAGGGTTTAAATCACCATAATATCAGCTCTATTCCATATGCAATCTTTCCTCTTACTTAATCTTTATATTTCTTTTTATTTTTTAAAACAACTTTTTCACTATTTCCTTCCCTAATTGTTTAATAATTCCCCCCTCTTAACTGTAGTATTAACCATATATTTTTTCATGCCAGGATCTTATAGTTTAGCCTCATAAGCTTATGTTACAAGTAAGAGGTATTGGGTTATTCAATTTATTGTTTGTATTAGTGCATAGTCTATCTAGCTTCAACCTGTTATGTAAATAATCAGTATATTTATAACAACTATTCCAAATATAAAAGCTTATATTTTTTTGCGGTTTTGACTATATATAGTTGCCAAAATTTTATCATCATCTGATAGACTTTGGTTTGGTAAGGATTTTGAAACAACTTTGGCAAATCTCTATACTTAGTCTTCAAATCTTGACTTTTTGCATGAAGGATGTGGAAGTGTAGTAACAGTAACCCTAATTTTTGAATAATATATGGTCTGCAAATATGTGATGAATGTTAGAATTGTATGGCATCTATTTCTTCAATAGTATGATATGACCTTAATTGGTACTCCATGTGAAGTTCATGTCAAAAACTATATTGAAGTCATTGTTATAGTAGGTGTCTCGGTTAGGGTCTATTTCCGGTTTCGGTACACAAAAAAGCTTCAATCTTTTATGAATTAGGCATCTGTTCATAGCATTATTTTATATATCTAAGCTATTCTTTATTAAGCATTTCTTGGTTCTCTCTCTTGCCTACCCCTAGTAGGGGCCTTATTGTGTTAGATCGGCAGCAAACTCTGTGTGTGTTATGTGAGTTTTTTTAATCAATAGAAATAGGTAGGAACGAGGCTGCATAATCTCCACCGTCTTGGTGGTTTAGAGAAAAAAAGGCGTGTATTCTTTCTCCATATTAAATTCTACCACAAATACTATGGATAAGAACGGGGATTATTGAAATTGTATTGTCAATGAAACTGCTGGTTTTGTAGGATGCCATGTTAAATGGCAATTTAACATAAAAGAAAACATTGGCCTGCTTTTATTTGTTGCATTTTAGTTTCCACTTTGTTGGAAGTTGGAACTATGTTTGAAGTGCTATAGGCTTAGGTATCAGACTTACCTTGACAAACTATGTGGCTTCCATTCTGACATCGCTTTTCGCATTCATTGTGACCTGTCAGTTGGCCAACATCTCAGTGTTCATACATACATAATTACATACATACATATATACACATGCAGAAAGTATTAAATAAATTAAATAAAATAAGCAAAAGTGCAATGCGATTTATTCTTTTACAAAAAGCATGACTTAACTGATATTGGCAACAAGTTTCATATTTTGATAAGTATGCATGATAACTTTGTTAATGTTTTCAAACACTTCTTTCTCATTCTATTATACGGATAACGGATTTGCAACTGTTTGAAATGGTATCCCTATGATGTCTAGTTCTTTCTCATTCAAGAGTGTACTGGTTTCTCATGTCAAATCCATTTAATGTTTGGGATTCTTTTTTTCTGTTGTTAATTTCATTAGGTATATATTTGTATATTCATGAATTTTCCAGTTTTTTATGCATTTGTCTGAAGGTAGTGTTTGCCAACCAATTAATTGGCATATTTGTATATATTGATAGAACATTCGATATTTCTTTGATTGGTTAAGTATGTCCTTAATTGGCCCCATAAACAAGCTCTTAATAACTTGAATATGATCTCTCTTGAGAACTTTAAGGACCCTATAATGGCGTGGTCGAGCTTAGTCATTCTATATTCTTTTGCAATAGCAATAATATTAGATATGGATAGGTATAGTACCTTGTTGAATTGCTGGTAAAAGAGTGCCATTATTAATATTGTGAAAACAACCAGTTTGTCCCTAATCGGCTTTGGCTGCGGTAAGTTCTGATCAGTGCTTTTCCTTTATTATTTACTCGCGGGTTATTGCCAGGTGCTGATGCAATGGACAGAAATGTTTCGTCTGAAGAGGAGGTTGATGTGACGACGGGTTTCATAGACCCTCAGGTAGAAGACCGGGAACTGAAAGGTCAACTTCTGCGCAAATACAGTGGATACCTGGGAAGCCTCAAGCAAGAGTTCATGAAGAAGAGAAAGAAGGGGAAGCTCCCCAAGGAAGCCAGACAACAATTGCTCGATTGGTGGACCCGACATTACAAATGGCCATATCCTTCGGTATTTATGCCCTCTAGTTTCAGACTTATTCTATTACACAATATATTCAATCTGGATATAGCCATTGTTAAATGAATATGTGTGCTTGTATTTTCGGGTATATACCTACTGGTATGAAATGGAAGGTTTCGTGCACGTTTGTTAAATACAGGAATCCCAGAAGCTGGCACTTGCTGAATCTACGGGACTAGACCAGAAGCAAATCAATAACTGGTTTATCAACCAGAGGAAGCGCCACTGGAAGCCCTCGGAAGACATGCAGTTTGTGGTTATGGACACCGCTCATCCCCATTACTACATGGACAACGTGCTTGGCAATCCTTTCTCGATGGATATCACACCAACTCTCCTTTGAGCCCGAAGAGGAATGCTCGAGGAGCTGAGGTTGCTGCGCGTGCTGTTTGGGTTTGTGATATTAAATTACTCCGTTATATATATTATATTATATGTAAGTAGGGTTGCATGCTTCCTATATCTATCTGTATCTGTCAGCCATTGCATACTACCTGGTATGCTTGTATTGTGCATTGCTATCAACCTAAACATTTGACTCGGTTCTATATTCAACTAGATGGTATAATAATTATAGTTGCTGGGGTATATTTTTTACCAGTTTGGTATTTTGGATGTCAGACTTTGATCCATATTCTATCCATATATAACTATTTCCTTGAGATATATCTCTTTTCACCTGCAATTGGTTGAAGTTTTGCACTTTAATATTTAAAGAACTAGACACAAATCATATGTATTTTTTTGTACTGACCTTTGCAATGTTTTAATTTTTGGTGTAATTAGTACCTACTATTTAAGGTTGCATGAGATAAATTGTTTTGTGACCTAAGTCACTAAAGACTATAAAGTGATAACCTAGTTTAGGTTGTTCTTAACTAATTTGCTCAAACTAAGAAGGTTGAGATTTAAACTTGTGATCTTATGAAGTTGTGGTTACAGGTCTATATATTTTGCTATAAATTTAAAATTTTAATTGAGATACAAAACAGTCTTGATATTATTGTGTAATAATTTGCCAATTTTATTGTCTTTACTCTCATTTTTAAATAACTCCATTGATTGTGTTATTGTTCCATCCCGTGCTAAATTACTAGTTGAATCAATATATTTAAAACGATACATTAGATGCATCCAAAAAAAAACGATACATTAGACAGTGATTAATAAGGATTTATAATTGTAAAGGTAAATTCTGTTTTTATATAATAGTTTGTAAAAATTAAGTATAAGAATTATGTTTAATTCATTCATCAAATTAAATTTGAGTGACGGAAGAAATTGTAACTACTTTTTAAACTTGTGCATTGAGTAAACACCTCATAATAGTTCACAAATCAAAGAATGTAAATAGCACTAGGAAGTAGGAAGATCTTGTCCAAACTATGACAAATCAAATTAAACTCAAGACCTTTTAGTATGAAAATTATACTCCACCCACTCAATCTTCTTTTGGAGCTCTTTAATTAATTTTTTTTTGAGTGATGAGAAAAACTCGTAGTCACTATAAATGGTGTGCTAGTAAACTTCTTCTTGTAACTTTAATCAATTGATCTATTCAAACTAAGAAAATTACCATATTAAAATTTAATAAATTTAATTGAAGTTGTCTCATCTTTAATTAATTTCTAGTATGCCTAACATATAGAGAGAGAAACTCGTACCTTAAAATGAAGTGACTATGTATACGAGGCTAGTGTGTCTCATGCGTGAGTTGGTGGAGCAATATAATTTGTGTTACATTTTCAAAATTTCTGGTACATTTTTTATGGGCTTATCGTCAAATTGTTGTGACCCCATTCTACACCTCTTGCTATTTACTCATTTGTAATTGTGGATGTAACCTTATTTGGGCCAATACAAATAACTTCATTTGTTAAAGTTTTGATGTAACGAATTCTTTAATTTATTTGTTTAAATTAAAGAAAGGACATTTATAATATATGGATATATATACTTTTTAAGCCCCTTTTAATGACATTTCTAATATAAGATAATTTCAAGTATTTTTGTAAACAGGACATGACATTTATGACAAAAATAAAGCCTTTTATTATCATCTTTGGTGGATAAAAATTGTCAAAGTTCCTATATTTGAGGATTTATTGACATATATTGATATTGATTAAGATTAGCTAGTTGATTTCAAGTAAAATTTTGATTAAAATATCAATGTCCCTATATAGATATAAGATATATATTTGTTGAGTTTTTTTTTTTTTTTTTTTAATTTATTTAATTCAAAATGTTAGTGCTAACCACTTAAAATGAAACAATATAATTTAACAGCTAGTGAGAACTTTCTTAGTATTATTTACAATAGTTTACTTTATTGTTGTTATCTTTCCATACTCATGCATGACTTTAAAGGGGTGTTTGTTTGGTTCACAAAATATAGATATTTTGATCTGAGATTTAATCTAAGACAATTAGATTTGACTGACAAGGTCTTTGCGACAAGTAATTTTGATAGAATAGTGTCGAATCCAATTTTTGCATGTCCGTCCATATATGCACTAAAATAACCTATTTTATACACTTGGATGAATATATCCTTTAATTACAATCAATTAGAGAATGAGATGAATGTAGCAGTATATGGATGGTACACCCTACTACATGTTGATCCACCTCATTTAGGATGAGTTCATTTTGTTTCTTTCTACTTCTGAAGGCTAGATTTCCGATCATAATGGGACTTTCAAAATTAGCCTCACTTTTAGGTCGAATCCATTTCCTATAGGTTCTTTGCTCTCAGGTCTAACACAAATTGGGTAAAAGTAATAGTAAGGTATGTAAGTATAAGTGAATAAAGTTGCTTCTTAATAGTTTTAATTATTTTAGACAATACTGTTCATATGTTGGTTTAATTATTAAGCATTGCGATTTTGCTGCTATTGACATTGGGAATGTTTTGGTTCACCATGATTAGCAGATCGTGTAGCTCATGTGCTTGGACGAGTGACATGTTCTTCCTCTGTCATTGTGGAATGGATTTTCTTCTCCTCCTTTGTGTATGTTTGATCTAACAATTGGTATCAGAGCATGTCACGGGTTATCAGAGCTAGAATCTCATTGAAAACACATGTTCTGATACCAATTGGTTGATGACTATGGAAGTAAAACATCTCTTTCCACAGTTTTCAATATCGAACGCCTAAAAACATCTCTTTCCACTGCTTTCAATGTCGGACAGCTGCCTTGCTCGACTTTCTAGTCGCACAGCCGCCCTGCTACCATTGAGGATGATCAGGAGCTACCTTCGTCGCTGCCGAATGTTATCCCTCCTTCCTCTTTTTTTTTTTTTTTTTCAATTAGAAAAAAATTGAGCAAAAACCTAAACTGTTGGCCTTGCCCTAACAGGGCATTTGGTTGGAGGGAATTTAAATTTTCTTCTCTCCTAATTCCAAAGGCCATAAAATTCCTTAGTTTGGTTGGAAGGAATTGCAATTCCCCCATTTTCATGGAATTAAAATCTCATGTATCCCTTGTGATTTTAATTCCTGGGATTTTAGGAAGAAAAAAAGCTAGTGATGAAACAAAATTACCCCTCCATTTTTTAACCTAAAATTAATACCACAACAACAATGTGTATTTTGGACTTTATACTACTTATTCCTTTCAATTTCCATGTATACCAAACATTGGAATTGAAATTCCCAGTAATTCTATTCTTGGAATTTAAATTCCCACTTTAGGGTAGGTAGTAGGAACCATTTAGGGTAGGTAGTAAGAACCAAATGCCGTGCCCTGTAAGGAGTTTGAGGGTAGGTAGTAGGAGAACACTGGAATTTAAATTCCCACTTTAGGGTAGGTAGTAAGAACTAAATGCCGTGAGTTTGGGGGTAGGTAATAGGAGAACACTGGAATTTAAATTCCCACTTTAGGGTAGGTAGCAGGAACCAATTGCATTTGAGGGTAGGTAGTAGGAGAACATTGGAATTTAAATTCCCACTTTAGGGTAGGTAGTAGGAACCAAATGCCGTGCCCTGTAAGGAGGGTTGGTAGTGGAGTGATTTTTTGAATGCTACATACTTTACATACTTTCCCAACCTAATGAAGTAAGCATTGGTAGTGGAGTGATTTTTAGAAGTAGAGGTCACTATATGCCATCTGAGCACAATGTGCTTGGCGTTTGGTAGTGGAGTGATAATTCCACTTGAGTGTTAAATCATCCCCATTATGAGCTAGATCAAAATTCTAACAAAAATGATCATGTTAACATATGGAGCAATATTATCCTTATCTTGGGCGGTTAATGAATGATCATGTTAACATATGGAGCAGTATTATCATTTTCTCGGATTGTTAATGAATTGAACATGAATGAAAAGTTGTTCATGTTTGTTTGTTAAGATTTTTAGAGTGTATGTTGTGTTCGTTTATTAAGCTTTTTAAAAATAATGTCCATGTTTATTTGTTTTGGAATATTACTGGCTCTATTACAATATAATATCTGTTCATAACTACTTTCTCGATTCACAACCTCATATATAAAGGAGTAACTTGGTGCCATTAGATCACAAGGTTCTTGGCAACAAAAGTAGTATCTTAAAATAAAATAAAATAAATTGTACTTAAATAATCTTGTTCATGAACAATTTTAAATGAAATATTTTCGTAAATATTATTAAACGAATACTAAACGAACATGTTCATGAATATCATTAAATTAAACGAACAGTAATGAACGCATTCACAAGTTCTTAGCAAATGAGCATACAAATGTTTAGACTCTGTTTGTTTATTAAATGAGTTCTAAAATATTTTCATTTATGTTCGTTTATCTTAATAAACGAATGCTTACTGAACACGAATACAAATAGTTACGAAAACTTTGTTCGCTAACACCTCGATCCTTATCACAAATGCTCAATTGTCTCCCTCAGTTGCACACCCGGGTTCATCACTCCTTTATTCTAAGCCCGTTTAGAATCGACCCCTTGATGCAAGCCCGGAATTTCACAATGAGTGTGATTGGGTGATTGGATCAAATAGACCATCACTGGCTTGGACTTAAGAACCTCAATCGAACAAGGTCATCCTTAATGATTTGGCTTTGGATAACCTTAGCATAACGGAGTTATCTTATGAATAGAATTTGGATTGGATAGCCTCAACCAATCGAGGTCATTTCAACCTTGTGTGATGACAACCGAGTCGTTTTAGAACTATAACTTGGGCCGAATTACCTCAACCCAACGAGATCATTTTGATATGATCGCGGATTTAAATTGAATGAGTTTAGCCCAACGAGGTTATCTCAATCCCCTAAATCCAACCCTACCATCTAGGGTTTATGGTACCAACATTGTTTACCATATGCAATGCAATATAAATGCCTAAACACCACCTCTAAAATTCTTCTTGCCTCCGAATAATAATAATAATAATATATATCGGGGAACAACAACAATAATATATATCTGTATTCTCCATTGATCTGACTCCTTTGGAGAGCAACACAAAGCGCTCTCTCGATTTCTTGTCTGATTGATCACCAATGGCCAAGAGCAGGCATGGGAGACGAGAGTTGCATTCTTACACCATTAGAGGCATGTACACAATGAACAGAACTGTCAGAGGTATATATACACATTCTCATTTTTCTGTGCCCATTTAATGGATATGTGCATGCATTTATCATACACCAAATAACTGGGAAATCGAGATGCGTTAGCTGTTGTGGCTTCACTCATGTTTTTGGTGATCGGCTTGTATACGTATCCGGGTTTCTCGATCATCAGTTTCCAGAATTCTGCCTGGATTATTGCCATTTTGGTGTTTAAAAATTTGAACTTTATTGAGCTTTGGAGTGAAAAAGGGAAAAAGATGGTCACTTTCCATTTGATTGTTGCCTTTTTTTATTATATATTCGTGCATATGTGTTTTGCATTAGTCTTTAGCCATTTCTCTTTGTCGTTGGTGTTTTTCTTGAGAACTTTGTGGTCTGCTTAGAAGTTAGAACTATATATACATTCACTCTTGTTGCTGTTGATATATATATAATGCTTATGTATTTGTGGGATTAATTGGTGCTTCTAGACACTTTAAAATGTAATAACCAAAAAACATGCAAAAGGACAACAAAGAAGCAATCAAATCCAAAATTTTTACATAAAAATGTGAAAAGGAACATCATGGGTTTTTTGAGTCAAGTCAAAAGATCTCGACTTTTTTGTTGTTGTATATAAATTAAAGCCTTTTTGAGAGTTGATTTGAGTTTATAATTGTGGATTTGTGGTATTACATGTGAAAACACCAATTTCAAGAATTCTAGTATGTATGTCATTACTTTGTTCGGACTAAATAGTTATTGATAATGTCCTTTTGTGTCCCACTGTACCAACACCCGCCAGGCATTTGTCTATACCATGTTGAATTTGAAAGATCCAAATGTAGAGATGAAGAATCAAGAGATGAGAAAATATATATTTTATGAAAGTGAATAGAAGTATTATATGTCTCTCCCCCTAGAAAAGAGAATATAGAGCCCTATAAATAGGTGTTAGAAGACTACAAATAGGAAACAAGTTTGCATATGCCTAACCTACCTAAATCCCTAAGACTGCCTAATCTATAGAGATTCCAAATATTATATTTATATTCCATAACAGTACTGTCAAACAATTAACCAAACATCTCACATATTTCATTATTTTGTTGTGGGCGTTGAAGTTTTTAATTTGGTTATGAATATCAGAATGAGTAATGAAATGAGTGGTTTTTAATTGAGTTTGTGTTGAATGATATATGTGAAGCTGGGGACGCTGTGTTCATGCGGTCACCGGAGACGGAGAAACACCCTTACGTGGCAATCATCCAGAAGATTGAGGCGGATGACCGCAACAACGTGAACGTTCATGTGAGGTGGTACTACCGGCCGGAGGAGACAAAGAGAGGGCGGCAAAGGTTTCATGGGATCAGAGAGTTAATGATGTCGGACCACTATGATGTTCAAAGTGCTGAGACTATAGAAAGGAAAGTTACTGTCCACACCTTCAAGGACTACACTGAACTTAAATTTATCAGTCCAGCTGATCTCTACTGGCGCTTTCACTATAACGCCAAAACTGGAGCCTGTAAGCCAAACCGTGTTGAAGTGTAAGATTAATCATTCCATTTCTCATCGACTTCTTTACTTTCTGTCATTATTTCGGAGTTTATCTCAACAGGTTTCTGTGGTTGCAGGTTTTGCAAGTGTAAGATGCCATATAATCCAGATGACTGCTTTATGCTACAATGTGACAAATGCAATGAATGGTATGCAAATCTGTCTTAATTTCTTTCTGCATTTTCAATCATTGATTATATATAAAAGGGTTTCTGTTGTGTTTTGCAGGTTTCATCCCAGGTGTTTAGGCATGTCTAATAGTGAGGCGAATAAGCTGGACACTTATGTTTGCGAAAACTGTGAATCCGGTAAACATGTCAGGAAACGTCCGGCTCAGCCTTCTGCTGACCAGGTATCATTACAGTGAGAGAGTTACACTTAATGTAGTTGAACTAGACACTGGTCCTCTCGTTTAATGGGTTGTTGAGTCATGTGATTTACCCCTTATTCATCCTGTCGGACTGGGATGTGGGGCAAGGGAATCTTGTTTTTTTGTGGCGAAGTTTATGATTGTTCTTTGGATTATTAAAGCAGCTTGGCATACATGTGATGTTGTTTCTGCAACTAAAGTGAGTCAGAGGCCTTACTAATGGTGGCTTGCTGTAACACTGGCTGCAGGTTGTGCCAAAACGCCTGAGGATGACTTAGGTTGCAGTTTGAAGAAGATGGAGGAGGGATCAGGGATGGATGGGTTGCTGTGATGTACTAGTTTTGAAGGAATTGAAATGCATGAGAACTTGTTAAGAATTCAGGTTCTGTAATCCGCTGGTTAAGTCTAGCTTTTCTTTTAATTCGCATTTGCGGATAAGACTAATTCAACCGAGTTAGTCTCGGTTGGGCCCCGTTTGGAGACGTTTCTTTAAAGACATCGAGGGAAGATATCACAATAGCTGTAAGTAGTCGGTTTTAGACTGGGTTTAAACTCACTTGATAGTTGATACCCATCTCAATTATTCAAATGACAATTTGACATTTGTTTAGTTTAATACTTAGTATTAGTTTTTTTTTTTTTTCTTTTTCTTTTTTCAAGTATACCTTTTATATATTAGGGAAAGCGGGAAGCCTTGCTTTCATTACCTGAAAGGCGAAAGGCGCTTTCATTACCTGAAAGGCCAGCTGAAAGTACACTTTAGGTGATATTTGTTTTGTAACCATAGCGCAAGAAGATAAACCAGGTGATATTTGTTTTGTAACCATAGCGCAAGAAGATAAACCAGGCCAATAAAAAGCTCTCACGAAGAATCAAATTTAATAGTAATTTTAATCCATCACATTTTACTTTTTTATTTTTTATTTTAGTTCTAAATAGATAATTTTTTTTAATGAACAATTTAGTTATTATATTTGAACATCTTTACTATTTTATTTTTTTTTAAGTGGCTATTTTTATTTTATTATGTGTAAATAATTTAAATATTATTATTTTTGTATTAAATTTTTTAATAAGATTATTAAAAAAAAAAAAAAAAAAAAGGGATAAGTACCTAAACATGAGGGAAAGATGGTAAATTTGAAAAGGCCCACCAAGTGTAAGTCGAATAGTTATGTTGTGGTCGTGGAATCGTGTTCACCATGTGCATGGTGAATACATGACAGATCAATAATTTCTAAGTTGTACATCTATAATTTCTATACTGTAGATTCATAACATTTATAATGTAGATTCATAATTTCTATACCGTATTGTAGATTCATAATTTCTACAACATAGAGATTATGGTGTAGAAATTATGGATCTACAGCATAGAAATTATGAATCTATTCTTGTGTTTACCATGCGCATGGTGAACATGTTTCCACAGCATAATTTGTGGTGTAAGTCGGCAAATTATTCTGTGGACCCGATTCAACTTGCCAAAAATACATAATTTACATACTAAATGTCACAATTTAAATTGTAAATATTTAGTGAGTAAATTATGAACATTCAGTATATAAATGGTGTATTTTGACTTAGACCCACCTTGCAAGATAAACTCGGGTCTATGGCATAACTATTAGTGTAAGTCGAAGGTGAGATGGATAGAGAAAGTATAGTGGTAGTTCGAATAATAGAAGTAGTCACCTTGACCCATTACCATCCTTATACAACACTCTGAGAAGCATTGAAAAGCAAATTTTCAGAGCTATTACCTTCATAAAGAGACCAAAACCTATGACATTCAAAAGTTGTGTTCCAGTGAAAGACAAAGGTCCAAACTGAACTGCCGGATGTACAATTCGAAAAACAGGAAGTGCAAGCACAAGCTTGTACAGCATTCCTGAAAAGAACTAAGCTAAAACAAACTTTTTTATATTGCAATGTACAAAAAGAATCATAACATATATCACTTTGGAACTGTCCATCTAATTAGGAGGAGGTACTTCTGTGTTATTGCACATGCACTCATGACATCTTGGATATCTATACACACTCCTACCAACCGGCCGCGTAAATACACGCTTGTTTTGCCTCACCGCCTTTCTCACTCTCTTCTCGAACACCTTCCATTCAATGGTGTTGTTCTTAAAGAAGATGTCAGCGAGTCTGCGCTTGTTTGGTCGTATGGTGGGCATTTTCCCTCTTCCATAGTATACTCGGTACCCCGATATCAACGACGAGAATTGACTTCCCGAGTCGGTCATAGCAAAAACGTCGGAAGCAGAGCAGACAATGAAGTCCAAGGCTGCTAGCTGCAACAAAACTTCAGCTCATCATCACAATTCACAAAGATAGTGTTATAAGGACATTTGCGTTGAGTGAGAATCTCGTCTATACCTTGTAAGATTTTCCCTAATAATATATATTATATATTAGGGCCTTAATTAAGTAGTGTAAGTGGACTAGGCTTATTAAGTGGTCTGGTTAGACTGAATAACTAGTAGTAGTCAACCAGACTCTGTGCCTAATATAATCCTGGATTGATGGGATAGAGGATGATGGATTAGATAGCACATTCAGTTATGGTACTCAGACTGCTCAGTAGACACCAATACACCATCTAGGGTTCTGAATCTAGTCTGAGGCAAATAATGGCGACCTTTAAGAGGCAACACAACAGGAATATCAACTGTGGCTGGAGATGAACACGGGCTACGCTTCCACTCTTATACGAGGTCAGATCTCTCGTATACTATTGTTCATTATAGTTAGACTATTTAGATCTAACATACCTGGGAAGAGAAATTTGCAAATGGCTCAATTTCAGTTGGGGAAAGTAAGGTTTCTTTTGTCACCAAGTATGGATACAAGGTAGTTAAGGCGGTTAGCCTCGACATCCCTCCATAGATCTGTGCACCAGCCAGGTATATGTGTGTGTGGCGATTGTAACCGAGGGCAGCAAGCATGAGTACTGTTTCTTCGGGCATTAATGGACACAAACCTTCAGACCTAAGAGCTGCCGGAGAAGGGAACCTGCAAAATACGTTCTCTAAAACAATCAAATCGAAACTAGAATATTTCTTTTCACAATAACTATGTTATGAGTGGAATACAAGCAATCAAATACTTCGTCAGAGTCTCACAGAACACGAATTTTTTGTGCAAGTAATATGGGAATAAAGATTATGGTATAACTTACTTCTTCGACTTCTTCTCCTCCACCAATGCAGGGAAATGGATTCGACGATATGCTTCCAATTCGCGTCTTTCTTCTTCACCCCCGCCATATTCACACAAAGAATGGGCCACCATGTCAATTTCAAACCTCAAGTGTAATGCCAAATATTTTGCAGTTTTCGAGGCACGATTCCTTTGACCCCTCGGTGATGATTTCGCATACGGACCAACAAGGTGAGTATCCAACAGCCCCAAGCGCGTTACATTTTGCCGCATCCTTTGAATAAGTAAAGCACCGGTTTCTTGTATTTTGGGAACAAATTTCAACGCGTGAAAATTACATCTGCACCGAAGTCTCTAGATGAAGTTCAAAAATTAGGAAGCAAGGACCAAAGGTAATAATATAATGGAAACGAACCAAAACCAGACTGGCAAAATCCAAACAGAGGCCAAGGATTTACCTGTATCTGAAATGGCAATGGATCAGATGCGAGGCGATTCCCAAATCCAACAAAATGGATAACTCTATTTTGATTTAGGATGGGTCGAATATACTTCAAATAGAAACTTGGCTTGGCCTCTTTTGCAATATCTACATCCGACACCTACGATAATATTTCAGATACAAATAAAGCAACAAGTTTGAATATGCGATCTATAAGTGTATAATCTCTTAAAAAATAACTACTTAACAACAATTTATACGATAACCTCACCAGACTGCCAATTGCCTCCAGATCCAACGATTGTAACTCCTTCGGGAGTTCCTTCACTATTCGAACATCAGGTTTCAAGTAGTTGATAAAGTGCTCCTCCTCATAGATATTGCCAAACTGGCTAAGAAATTATAGAATTTGGCTGTTACTTTTCTGGTTAAAGAATATATGCATCATGCCTCGGAAAAAAGAAACATTCTCAACAGTACAAGAACAATCAAAATCGGAAAATGTATGCGATGCGTGTATACATAATAAGACATAACCGAACATTTTTCACCTGGCATCTCTCCAGACACTACTGTACAAAAATTTGGGAAGAACGAGAGTTGCGTTAAGTAACCTTGCAACAGCTACGGCATTGCAGATCTGTTACACAACAGATAAATACCTTAGTTGCAATAAAATGGACTGTGTAATACTCCGTATTCAATTAACGAAAGAAAATAGATTGCAGATACGATTTGCAAAGATAAAATAATTAAAAACAAAATAGAGCCAGAGACATAACTTACAGCTACTCTCTGCTGGTTTATCCCACCATTAGCAGTAACCATAATGTAGCCAGCATTCCCGTCTGGATTTTGTATTCAGTTTGTTTAAATAAGAAAAACGTTAACTCATCACAATACCAAAACAATATACACACACATAAAGAGCGAGAGACGAGAGTGGGAGGAAGAGAGACCACTAGGTTCCCAGTCACGCTGGTCCGCACAAGGTTTCCATGTCGAAGCAATAGCATAGGGCTCTATCCATAGGTCTTTAAGCTCGGGTTTATTATTTAGCTGCAATGTACAATAATCCAATCGTAAAGCCCCAAAGAACAAAAAACATTACATACACTGCTCTAACTTGTAAAACATGAAGATAGTACCTCAGCTAAAGCATGGGCAGCCTTAGCCAAAAGCCGTGCATAGATTGTTTTCTGCGGCCTTTTTCCTCTACCAAGCTTTATAAGTTCTTCCTACATTTGTTCAAAACAATAACTAAGTGTCAACACAAACAAACTAACATCCAACTCTCTAACTAAATAGATACGCAGAAATTCTTCTCATTGCAGGATTTTCAATCATTTCAAAAAAACGAGTAATATTGAATATAAATCCAATACAAAGTAACCAACTTTTTGCAAATTTAAACGGATATAACCAAGCTGTCATCTCACACAAACTAACATCCAACTCTCTGACTAAATAGATATGCAGCATTCATTGCAGGATCTTCAATCATTTCAGAAAAATGAGTAATATTGAATATGAATCCAATACAAAGTAACCAACTTTTTTTTGCAAATTTAAACCAATATAACCAAGCTGTCAATGCACGGAAACTAATATCCAACTCTCTGGCTAAATAGATATAACATCAATTCTTCTCATTCCAGGATTTTCAATCATATATATATAATTATATATCCAATACAAAGTAATCAACTTTTTGCAGATTTAAACGAATATAACCATTCTGAACACACACCCAACTCTCTGGCTAAAGAGATAATCAGCAATTCTTCTCATTGCAGGATTTTCAATCATTTATGGAAAAACGAGTTATCTTGAATAGAAATCCAATACAAGTTTTTGCAAAATTAAATGAATATGAAAAAAATAGCCTACCCGAATAGAAAAAGTAGATGAATTAGCTTTAAGGAACATGAACTTGATCCCACGGGTCTGGGTGGGCTCCTGGATCCGAGAAAGCATCCACCAATCCACAAGAAGAAACGCCGCAAACAGCAAAACCAACCCCACCGACGCGCTCTGCAGGTAGCATGCCGTCTTTCTCTTCTTCATAATCCTCCTCTGGCCGGGCAAGCCGGTGGGCAGAGAGGAAAACGAGTTGGCTGAGCGTGTACGAGGCAATGACCCGAACGAGCTGCTCGACGATGGAGATCTCAGCTCGCTCAGCAAATCCTGCTCCGGCCGTTCACCGTCGATTGGTGTACCAATGTGGGAAATCTCTGCACCAGCAGAGTTGCTACGGAACATCTTTCTAGTTTTCTTCTTTAACAAAACAAAACAAAAAACAATCAGATTTTTTTTTTTTTTTATAGAAGATTAAGGTTGAAGATGGTGGCGTTGGTGGAAATATGTTAAGGGGTTTCGGACAAGGTGAGAGAAAGATGGCGAGAGGGACGACTCCAATCTAGAGATCACCCGGTAAACTCGATTTCTAGAGGTGCCTTCCATTCGTTGAAACTTGCAGATAAAGTTGGACTCAACTCAAATTTTAGTAAAGGCTATTACATTACGGAATTTTTATTATTATTTTTTTATCCTCCTCAATTTGCATCTTCATTTCTTGAATTCTTGTTTAAAGCCCATGTGTCCGGGGACTTTTTTTAATGTTAATATAATAAAGTCAGACACTACGGACATTTGTTCACTTGGAATTTTGTTAACATGATACGTAATTGGACATATAAATAATTAATATTTACTCTTATTATGTTCGAGTCATTCATAACTTGACTGAGCATTCTTAATAGATTCTTCAATGATTTTTGCAAGTGAATTTTTAACTCCAAAAATTTCTGATAAAATATCTAAAAAAATATATAAATTATAATAACTCAATTATTTATGCGGGCATGAATTTTAATAAATTAGATGTATAAATAATTAATTTAATTCATTACAAATTATGTCATAATGAGTTAATATATATAGTAAAATTCTTATAGTTTAATATATAATGTATTAAAAATAACGAATAAAACATATATAAATAAAAAAATATAACTTTTATTTACACTTATTAGTTTTTATTCAAATGTGTATTATGAAGAGCAAGTTCAAAATTTTGGATTAATCTTTGGTGGAATGCAAATTAATCATTTTATAGGAGAAAAAAAAAAAAGAAAATTCTTTTGATTAATTTTTTTTTTTAAAGCTGCTCACTCTATTATATTATAATATTTGTTCTTCTATATTTTCTTAATTTATTGAAGCATAAAGAGTTAACCCTATCTTCACTTAAACTCAATCTCACGACCTCTCCTATGGAAAAGCCCATGACACTACAATTGGTGCTGGGCCTTTTGATTAAAAATTGTTCATTATGGCTTTCAAACAAAAAAAAAAAAAAAAAAAATTGTCATTTGGATTTTGGAGCACTGGCATTGAAACCACGTCGTTTTACATTTCTCCTATAGAAGTTGCGAGTTGCGAAAGCTAGTAACTGCAGTGAAGGAGATGTATGAACAGACACTACAGAGGCGGCGTAATTCAACAGCTGAAGTTAACATCAGTTTGTTTGGACGGGAGATTCCGTTCCGTGAGCTGAAAGATGAATAAGAAAGGTCTCGCGATTCTCATGCGAACAAAAGTGCGTCCTCTATCACCTGCTCCTCTAGTAAGTCTTACTCTTATACGCCATTCCGCATGTTTGTCTGGTGTATCAGATTTAACTGTGCACTATCTATCATGTATGTATTTTGGAGTCTATCTCTTCATATTTATGGAATTTTGCCTCATTTGTTGTGATTCGATGCTCAACAGAACAAAGTCCACAAAATGCAGCTCTCTCCGCAGGAAGGAAGCAGCAGCCAAAATTCTGCTCCGATTGCGTCCTTTGATTCCGAGAGGTCCCTGTTTGTTGATGCAATTGTATTTGTGTTTTTTAATTTGTGCTATAAATTAGTAAATGAAAGGCAAAATTGAGTTTCCGGGAATCAAAATCAATCACCAGGTTTAAACACTTGCGAAGTTGATGCTAAATTACGTGGTTTCAGGGACTTTGCTCAAGTAAGGGATTCTATGCAGTCTGCAATGTTGATGAGCAAGACAGAAAGTTTAGATGCTGCTTTAGATGATTTTTCTGAGGTGGATTTTTATTGCATCACTAACTTTTTTTTGCTCACTGTAAACTTGTTTGTTTCTGAAATCTGATGAGTATGGAGATATTGAGTGTCATTGTTATTGATGTAGGGTTATGTTTGCCTTTCCCATGTAAACCGTCAGAAATTGCTTCATGCACTAGCACGAGATTATGATCTTAACCGAGCTCAAGTTCGTGAATTGATGAAACAATATCTTGATCTTCAGTTTCCCAGTGGTGAGTTCAGGCGTTCAGTAATTATATAGATGAGAGATTGTTGCTTTGCTTCTTTGGTGGTTTGGGTTTACAACTATGGAGCCTTGGCAGATAAGGCTGAAGATAGTGGGCTCGAAGAGGAAGGGTCACTATCTGCTTTCTACAGAATAGAGCGGAATTTGAGGCATGCTCTCAAGCCAATGTATGAAGTGCTCTTTGAGTGCCTAAATACACATCCTGGGGGATTGAAGTTCCTGTCTGATATGCGTGCTGATATTCTTTTGATTCTCAAGTAAGGTTATGCCACAACTTGAGTTATTCTCATCATTCCTTTATTTGTGCTAAATCATATTTTGATGTTAGCCCCGGTGAAATTCAGGAGAAACATAAAAAAAAAAGGTTTATCTTAGTGAACTGCAATGTACTCACGAAAGTAGAACTCCACAAGGTTTGTGATTACTGAAATTACTAATTTGCAGCAATGAAAATGTTTCATCCTTGAGAGCCCTAGACTCCTACTTGAAAGAGAAACTTGTTACATGGCTCAGCCCCGCAAATCTTGAACTCCATAATATTACATGGGACGATCCTGCTTCTTTGTTGGAGAAGATAGTTGCATATGAGGTAATTTTCTTATCTGAACATTATGAGTATTCCTAGATGCTATATGGAAAATTATGATTTTTCATATCCACAGGCTGTGCATCCTATAAGCAATCTTATAGATCTGAAAAGGAGGCTGGGAGTAGGTCGTCGTTGCTTTGGATATTTTCATCCAGCAATACCTGGTTAGTTATACTTTTCTTAGCAAGCATTAAAATGTTTTGTTGATTTTCTTACCTGGTTAGACTTACTGCTGTAAGTCTAATGATAGACCTTGTGCTGCAGTAAATCTAAGCAGGTCAGAAATGTACACTACAGTAAGTCTAATGATTGAGTTTCTTCAGGCGAACCTCTTATTTTTATTGAAGTTGCACTTCTGAAAGATGTGGCTCAGACAATACAGGTAGAAGTATGCCTTAGATGATTTATTTATTCAGCCCAAATATGCCTTTGATAACCATGTAGGAATTGCAGGAGGTCTTATGGGATGATCCTCCGATACTTGAACGTGATGCCAGCTGTGCACTATTTTACTCTATTTCATCAACTCAGGTAGGCATTAAAATTTTAGCTTCTTTTTTTTTTTTTTTTTTTTTTTTGCAGTTGGAATATCATAACACCATAGTTTCCTCTCTTCAATTCTGGAATGATTTTTCACTTGACAGAGTCAAGTCTTGAATAACTTAACCAATAAACTTCACTTGAGTAACAAATGAAATTGGAGAAATGAAAATAACCTTTTTCATTTATTACACAATATTGTTCCTGACATACATCTCAATTTGAATTCCTCAAAAATGAACATGATCATCCTTATCTTCATATAACTATTAGATAAAGTTATTTTTTACTTTAAATTAGTGTTGATACTTGAATACTTTTTCTCATTATTATCTTGTGTATACCTAATTCATAACATCCATGATCATCATTCTCCATTGTCAGCCTGGTTTATCAGGAATCAACCTTGGGAAGTTTCTAATCAAACGTGTGATTGATGTGGTAAAGAAGGATATGCCAAACATCTCTGTAAGTTCTATTTTCATGGTTATGTCACCTTCTTGAGAACCACACAAGATAGTATTCCTTTGGTGCATGAGAGAAACTAAGGAACAAACTTCTTTTCTGTTGTGCTACTGCCAAAAACTACTGGTGTGTTCTATTGGCCTCCCACGCACATACCAGTTGTCTGAGTCAACAGTTGTGATATTCTTCTGCTGTTGGTTTATGAATTTACTTGCAGACATTTGCAACACTTAGTCCTATCCCTGGTTACATGCAATGGCTTCTGTCTAAGTTGGCTTCTTCCGAGAGATCTGGTTCTGCTTTTAGAGAGAACTTACTTGAGCCAGATGAAGAAACAGCAATTTTAAATGCATCAGGGTAAGTAGTTGTCTATGCAAACTTCTTGCTTGAGAATGTAGAGTATTCATTGTTTTCTTTTAGATATGTCATAAAAAAGTATAGCTTGTGGATCCCTGAGAACATGGCCTGCATTAAAACATGTATGCTGTTGCTTGTATATTAGATACAATGTATGGGGGACTGGATGTTGGTTTATGCAGATTTGTCTTCTTCCTTGGTGATTTTTGTTTAGAAACCCTAAGAGGGCATCTACTATATATCTGCGCTTGTCTTTCTCCTAAAATGATAAACGCATTCAGAACTTAGAGAGGTAGCTTCTGATCAACTGGAAATTCTTTGTTTGAAGTTCTATAAAGAGCTCTAACAATTTTAACAGGAAAAAATGGTTGTAAATTGTAATCAATTGATTCATTGGTTGTTATTACATCTTTAAAATAATCTTGTTATGATTATATTTTCACAGAGAATCCGGTACAGGAAGAAGTGGTATGGAAGTAATGCAGAATCTGTTGGCATCAAAGGACCATGAGTGGACTAATTCAGAGATGTTGGTATCTGTGCTTAGAATCCCTCTAATGCGACTTTGTGCCAGGTACACTTAAGTAGATATGTTTTCTTTAACAGCTTTGTTCAAGTACTTTACTTCATTGACAGTATCTTAAATTTTTGCACTGGGAAGTTTTGACTTCCTAACGATGCACTTCAGCTTTTACACAAATTCGTGTTGAAGCACTCTACCTTCACTGGAATGTAACCTATAGAATTCATTAGTTGTGGTATCCCTGTATTCTTGATTTGATCTGGAAAATGGAGATATTATTATATTTTAACTTCCATAAAATGTAGATATTATTATTTTCTGACTTCCATGTATTTGGTTTTTGGCTTACAGGTACCTTCTAAACGAGAAGAAGAGAGGGAAAGCTCTAGACTCTGTTGCCAATTTCCACTTACAGAATGGCGCAGTATGATAAGTAGATATTAGTTTGTAAATTCATTTCTTTTTATGACAAGTGATCGTGTGACAAGTGATTATTCCCAATGGCATGAAAGATGCAAAATAACACATGTTCTAATCTGTCAACATACAGCACTTCTGCCTGATTTGAAATTTCTGTTAAATAACTCTCCTAACAGATGGTTGGAAGACTGAATTGGATGTCTGACAAATCAGAGAAGGGCCTTCATCAGAGTGGTGGAATAATGGTAAATTACATATACAGGTAAAACTAATATCCCTGTTAATTCTTCTGTAGTTAGAAGTGGAAATACAAGCCAATATTTTTTGGCACCCCCACCTACCCTACTCACATTTTATTAACTAAATTGGACATGGTTAAATTTTTTACTTTTACATGGTGGCATTTCAGTTATTCTTTGAATTTATTGGGCACTCATATATTATAAACATTATTGGGTTATTGGAACCTGGTGGTAGACTGACAGATATCCAGCAGCATGCAGTTTTTCAAGGGTCAGAATGTTTAATGGAGGATGTGGACATTGATAGCCAGATTCTTGTACCAATATTTGTTAGAATTTGACTAAACTAATTTAGTTATATGGTAAAAATGAAATAATAAACTTAATTTTTAGAATACAAGTGGGTGTGCCTACTGTCTACTGATACAAAATTCTAATTCTCATAATTTAGGCACTTAACATCTGGACATGACTTATGCACATTTTAGTTCATAAGATTGCTATTGCTGGATCTGCCTCAGCTACCAATACGAATTTCTACTTCTCTTTTATTGAAGCATTTAACATCCAGATATGTTTTCATACGCTTTTATGTTCATAAAATTGCTGAAATTCACAGAACTTCATTAAACATTTTCAGTCTGGAGAATATTGAAGAAAATGGCCAGTCATATATGAGTGGAGGCCATATCCAAGCATCCTCCGATGTCAAAAACTATGTTGGGGTAAATTGTTGTGTTTATGTGCACTTTAATATTTGATTTTACCAGCTTCAACACCTTTTCTCCCTCTGATGTTTCTCAATCAATCACACACCTCAACCTTACACATGTTGACATGCATTCATCTATATGTAAATCTGTGCAATGACTCAAACGAGAAAACTTTTACCTGCATGCAGGTGCAGTGTGATCATGAAAGAGGAATGGGTTAGAACTATATGGCTATATTAGTAATTTTGTCTGTAAATTTGAAAACTCTTAAAAATTTCTGTCCATTTTCAATCTCTCTTATTTGAGAAAGAGTTGCATTTTCTAACTGCATATATCCTTTTTGGAATTGTATTCCTCTTATTTGTTCTCGTAGTGCCAAATGCAATTACTTTTCCAGTTCACAACTAAAAGAAGTATCAAAGATTCAAAGTCCATAGAACTCAAAAATGAATGTAAGATCCTATGGCCATCTTATTTACAGCAGTGTTGTATTGTTGTAACAGAAAAACCTGTATCTTTCCTTCCTATCAGTAATTATATGACAGTAAAACACAAATACAGAGCCACATAACTTTCTGACTCACTTTCCTTGCTCCAAGCAGCTAGTTTCCAATACGTAGTCCCTCATAAGTCTTGTATTATATTCATTCATCATCTGCTCATCATTCGAAGCTACAGGTAAATGAGAGGAGCAATAACAGACATAGAGAAGAATAAAGGAGTAGGACTATTCATCACCTTAGAGGATAGGCTCTGCAGGTGTTCCCATTCAAAATCATCCTTACAGTATGCTGATCGAACCTTCAACAATGTGCAGATTGATTAGTTCAAAAAATGGTGAAATCCATAATCAAACATTGTGAAAGAGAAAGGGAGATTGGAGAACAGGGTAAAATTACAGAGTGTACTGACCTCCATTATGCGTAAAGCTGCAAATGAAAGCAGGAAGCATTGTGAGTATATGTTCTCAAAAAGTTAGTCTTGTGGATGATGCTAGTTTGAAGTTAGAAGAGCTAGAAATTCAGCAACATATATACCTAATTTTTTGTGTCGTGGTGATTCTCGCATCAGCTTTTCACAGAACTTGTCCCCATCATTCAAAGAGTTTCTCTCCAGGAACTCCATCAGCTCCTGGTATGCCTCACGGTTGTACCTCTGCTCTTACAAAACTGATGTTAGGGATAGTATCCAAATTTTCTCTCCCTCTTCATTTCAGTAAAATTTAAGTGGTCACAGCAACAAATTTTATTATTAATTCAAAGAATTAACACTGCACATTATAGTATATGGTAGAGTGTAGGATAGAAGGAACCTGAAGCTGGGCAACCACGATTTTAACAGCAATGAAATTGAAGAAATCGTGAAGGTGATTTGCTGCTCTCTTTTCAGGCGATACTCCATATCCTGCACGCCAACAAGAATAGAATGCTTCCATCAATATATGCATTTGTGTAAACAAATTGTGATGAGTGTAAGCAGTGATTACCGACCGGGGACATACATCTTGTGACACAGAGATCGTGTGGGCAGTGAACTTCTCTGATTCCATGGCTTAAACGGTTGAGCTTGGGTTGTTGACGTGGAAAAAGATGGCCGGGAAAAGGGGAGGACAGTAGACAAGTCCATCGGAAAATATGTGTTTAACAAAACTGATAGCAGTGAGTAACAGAGATATGGAGTTGGAAGTCACAAATATCTCTAGTCTATTGCACAAATATCTTTGGTTGTTTCAACGTCAAGAAAAGGGGAAAAAGCGCTGGCAAATGTGGATCCCACCGGTTTTTATAAACGTGCAACACCACACATTGTTCTTCTCAAATGTTATCAGTTATGGTACTAACTTATGTTTATTATTATGTTATATTTTGATTTACATGAAAAATTCACACCTACTCGAAGGTGTGTTCTAGGTGAACTTTACCTTATGATTTTAGTAAATAAAGGACAATGGAATAAACCAATTGGAAGGACATTTATCATAGAGTCGAACTTAGAATTTTCTAGTCATTAACTGATCAATTTGATTGCAATTTCCCTATTATTATGCTATCTGATCACACCTAGTCAATCTCCTAATGAGCTCTCTTTCGCTCAAAAATAAATTTATAGAATTTACATAAATACATACTCAAAGAATATTATATGATACATGGACTCTCAAGTTCTATTCCTTCACTTTACAATCTGATGTTATAAGTTATATTCATTCTGTGGGTACCAATAAAGATGTCTACCTCAACAATTTGTGTGAGGGAGTAAAATCTGGGAGTCCAAGTAGTATTTTTCATAACGCTCCTTGTAAAAGCAGGATCTAAGTATCAGTCACAAAATTCTAGGTCTGGCATGAACACCAGTTCCCTGCTCTCCTTGCTCAGATTTTTCAGAACACACACAATATCATCATGTTGAGGATGAGAACTGTGGCCCATGAAAAAAGTTGTAATATTTCCCTGTAAATCGATAAAACTCCAACCAGGAAGTTTTTTCAGGCCAAGAGATTTCATTTGGAGCCAGGCCTTACCAACACCCTCCCACTGGGTATTTGAAGCATAGCTATGAGCCAGTTGCACATATTTTCCAGCATCATCAGGTTCCAACACAGAAATTTCCTTTGCAATAACATCCCCAAGCTCTACAAGACCCTTCGCTCTACAAGAATCAAGTATTATACCCAACGCATCAACCATTGGCTCGGGGAACATTGTTGTGTAGAAGTCGTACGCTTCTTTAACCCTACCAGCTCGACAAAGGAGATCAACAATGCAGGCACAGTGTTCCAGTTCTGGCTCGATTTTGAAATCATTTCTCATAGACTCAAACAACCTCATGCCTTGCTCAACAAGTCCATTATGACTGCATGCATAGAGAACAGTTAAAAAGATGACACTGTTTGGTATCACCCCACATTCAACAAGCTTCGAGTACAACTCCAGCGCAATCTTTCCTTCTCCATGACTACCATATCCAGCAATGATCGTGCTCCACGAGACCAGATCACGTTCCAACATCCTGTCGAAACACTTCCTTGCAGCGTTTAAGTCACCACACTTGCAGTACATATCTACCAAAGCAGTGTCAATCATAATGCAAGGTCCAAGACAGCTCCGCATAACAAAGTTGTGGATCCACTTCCCCTGCTGGAAAGCTCCTGTGGAGGCACAAGCTTGAAGAAGAGAAACAATAGTTATTGAGTCAGGTTTTTGATGTGTTATTCTCATTTCATTAAACATATGCAAAGCCATTGATAAATGTCCGTTCTGAGCATGCCCTGCAACAATGGCATTCCACGATACCACATCTTTTTTCTCTATCATATGGAAAATGATGAGACTTTGCTTTAAATAGCCACACTTAGAATACATAGTGACAAGAGAATTTTGGGCAGGAGAGTCAATTACGATTCTCTGCCTCAGTACATAGCAGTGTATTGAGGTTCCCACTTTCAGTAAACCCAACTGTGAACAAGCTGCAAGTACACTGGCTAAGGTACTAGTAGATGGTGCAGTTCTCGAATCCAGCATCCAACGAAACACTTCCAATGCCTTGTTTGCATATTCATTCTGAACAAGACCCGAGATAACTGATGTCCACAAAACTGCATCCTTATTGTTTGCTTTCTCAAAAATATTAAACGCGTCCTCCAAGTTTCCACATTTAAGATACATGACTATAAGTGATGTTTCAAGATGTACATCTGATTCAAATCCGTTTGCTATGATCTGACCATGCACCAATCTTCCAATTTCAAAACTACCCTCTTTTGAAATTGCAGAAACCAATGACCCATATGTTTGAGAATCAGGATCTAGACCTTGAAACCTCATTCTATGCATAAGCCTCAATATTTCTTTGGTGTTCCCCTCCAACACATAACCTGAAATCAAAGAATTCCAAGAAACAATATCCTTTTCAAGCATGGATTCAAACAAGTCCCTTGCACAGCCAACTCTTTCACATTTACTGTACAAGCTTAACATACAATTCATCAAAACTAAGTTAGATGTAAAGCCATATTTTACAATACTAGAATGAAAGCATCTCACTTGGTTGCTCTCTGTTACCCCAGAAAGCAATGTCAAAACAGTAATGGCACTGGGCTTTATCCCATCCTGTTGCATAGAATTATACAAGAAGAGTGCATTCCAAATATCACCACTACGAGCATAACACCCAATAATCGCTGTCCACGGGACAATACTCCTCTCATGCATTTTTTCGAACAAGTTGTGAGCGTTTTCTGTGTGCCCAAATTTAGAATAGAAGCTTATCAAAGAAGAGGCAATGTAAGGATCAGAAAAGTACCCGTTGACAAGCACGTGTTGGTGGACGGAAAGACCGAGACGGAAGAGGTTAAGGGAAGTGCAGGCTTTGAGGAGGCTGGGGTACGTAAAGTTGTCGGCGAGAATAGAGGCTTTTAGCATGGAGGCGTAAGTGAGTAAGACTTGGTGGTGGGCGCCTTCGGATGAGAGGCGGTTGATGGTTGCAATAACTGACTTGGTGGTGGTGCCGGCGACGGCGGCCGTCGTAGATTGAAGTGATGACAGTGGAGGATGAAAGCGGTTGGGCGAGAGCTTGTTCATGGTATCTTTCTGGTATCCTCACTGAATCACTTCACTATCATAAATCGTTAAATATAATAACGGTAACGTTTAACGAACACGATTCCTTGCCATTTCTGCTTTTTGACTGCAAGCATTTTTATTTCATTTTTCCTTGTTTGCTCATCAAAACAAGATTTAACCTGACCACGAATTAACAACTTGATTTACCTCTTTATAATTCCAATTTGAGTCGATCAATTATAAACAACTTAACTTGATTTACCTTTTTATAATCCTTTATTGACTAGAGTCACAAAACGAAGTATATCTGTTGAATAGTGACTACGAATTTTCCTCATCAAACAAAGACAATCTCAATCAAATTTTTTATAATCCTTTATTGACTAGAGTCACAAAACGAAGTGTATCTATTGAATAGTGACTACGAATTTTCCTCATCAAACAAAGACAATCCCAATCAAATTAATCAGACTGTTGACTAAGTAACTATAAAGTTCCAAATTCGACTCAACCATATAAACATAAAGTCTCAGAGAATTATGATTAAAAAGTTAATATCATCATTCCAGCTATAGTTATAGACTCGGGCTTGGCCAGAGAGCTATAGGTGAAGGTAAACCATTACATAAATGGAGGTCTCAATCAGTTCTTAGGTGCAGCAAAGAAGCTAAGGAAATTTTCATTATCTATGAATCCTCCTGTCAAGAAAGCTCTGTCGAATAGTGAATTTTCATTATTGGCGATGAATTTGGTTCTTCGAGTCATCGAGTGTCTGGTAGTAGCTAGTTTCATTGCTTCTTTGGATACTCCCTAGCTCCAAATATTGTAGATCCAACTCTGACATTTGTACTGCCCATTTCAATCTGCAGCAACCAGTGAACGCGTGTTAAGTTTACCTGGGAAGAGAGGAAAGTATTCTCGATTCCTATGGAGCTCTATTTGTGCCATAAACATGTTTTCATGGTTCCAACGAATCAATGGAGCTGGAATCATTTTATACCAGTCTACACTAAAATATACTTCAAACTATTTTAAAATTAGGTAGCAAGGGGCCAAGGGATTAACATAACGAGGAAAGTTTACTCACTGCAAGTTCAAAGTCACCGGACATGCCCATTGACAGCTCACACTGCTCTTCAGCTATTCCAAGTGCCTTGCATACCTCACTTCTACAGTTTGCTAATGTCTAAACGCAACAGATTCAATTGTATCAGGCCATTTTTATCGAGAACAAAATGGATGCCAACAACAATGTATTATATAACTACCTTAAAATTCTCAGGGGTCGAAGTATAGTCAGGCATTCCTATTGTCATCAGGCCACTGAATTCAAGATTCGGGCAGCTTGAACTAATGTGTTTGACAAGGTCCACACACGCAGCTGGCTCAACACCGGATTTAGCTGCGAAAGATAGAAACTTGGGGTCGTTATATTTCTGTTCTTATAATGTAAGAAAAATACTTTACAAAAGAAGCATGCAATCCTACTAAGTCAAAGACCTACTCCAATTTACTCACTTTCTTCTCCACTTGTATTCACTTGAACGAAAACCTTCAATGGTTTCCTTCCAATGTTTCCAACCACTCGATTAAGCTGATTTGCAATCTGCAGGATGCAAAGTAACAAAGTGAACTGATTCGGTGCATCGGAGGTAGTAAAGGCATTGCCATAGAGCAAATATTATGATAGACTATGCATATTAATATTACAGTATAGAAGGGTATTTCACAGCTTATTGCTCCAAAAGCAAGTCATTTTGAATCTAATTAGCTATCAGCTAACAACTAATTTACGAAACACTTTTCTACAACCAGCTAATCCCGATCAACTAACAGCTATTTACCAAACACCCCTTTCATTTTTCCTAGAGATGAATTTGCTAGGTTGTATTGATACTCGATAATGAATTTCTGCATATTCAATTTGTTGTAGTGTTTTTTTTTTGGTCTTTTTACGAGGAGGACCAAAATACAGGATAGATGTGTTTACCTTCTCATCATCAACAGTCTCCACCATTGCAAGATTTGGCACACCAGCTGAAACGATAACCGATATAGAGTAGTTACAGATCAATATTCACAGGCAGCAATTACACCATACTAAAGACTCACACTCCAATTAGGTATGTGGAACATACTCAGAAGCGGCTTTACTTTATTGCTCTGCAAATTGCCGATGAAATGCCACTCTATATCCTCCGGAAGCTGTAATTCACAATCACTCCATCAAATACAGCAAGACAAGATAACAATCCAATGGGATAAACAGAAAATTTCACGAAGAAAGGCGTCAAAGTTGGGGGAGAGAGGACCTGTGGAGCTTTGTCGACGAGCTCTTGGACATAATTTTCGCCGAAACAGCGGTGGCCAGAGTCGTAAACTTGGCGGATAAGGGAGGCTGGCTTGGTCTTGCTCACGGCGACCACCCGAATCCGGTCGGACTGGCGGCCGCAGCGTTCGCCGGCCTGCTGCACCCGCTGCAGAACCGATCGCAGCGCCGTAGATGCCACGCCGTCTATGGCGGCGGAAGAGGCCATTTCCTGATGCTGACGGCTGTGGGGAATCTTCCTTCTCTTCTTTCTCGATCTTTCCTGTTGCTGGTGCTTCTTGGTTGTTCATTTTCGTTAAATTTAGAGTAAATACCCAAATAGTCCCTCGACTATAGCTAAATTCACAAATTAATCATCGATTTTCAATTTTAATCAATTAAGTCCTTAACTTTGTAATTTTGACACGATTTGGTCCTCTATCATTTTGACCGTTTGTTGACCGTAATCGACGATCTTCAGAAGAACCTTCAGCTCTCGTTGGAGCACGTGGAGGCCTCCAGGATGACGTTACACTGGTTCGGAAACACGTCGTCTTCTTCGCTCTGGTACGAACTCAACTACATTGAATCTAAATGGAGGATGAAAAAAGACAACCGAATTTGGTAGATTGCTTTCGGCAGAATTCAAATGTAACAGTGCGGTCTGGAAATGCAATAAGAACTTTAAAAAATTGACGATGGACTATGAAATTACATATATATCCTCAAAAATCACAGTCAACAAACGATCAAATAGACAGATGACCAAATTGTGTTAAAATTACAAAGTTAAGGACTTAATTGATTGAAATTAAAAGTCGATGACCAATTTATGAATTTAGTTATAGTAGAGAGACCATTTTAGCTATTAAGTGATATACCATAAGTTAATTGAATGGATAATTGTTTGTGTACCCCTAAAAATATCATGCGTTACCAAAGGCAAGTTGTACTTGTGAAAAGAATAATGCATAATTATATGCGTTGATTTTAGACAAAGTACACAAATATACAAACTAAAATCGACAAATTTGATTTACAATTAGTTTTTACATCAACAAAATAGAGGTAATTCAATTACCTTCAATAGAAATTAAAGTATTTTAATGTAAATATACAATTAAAGGTGTATTAAGATTATGTGGTTTAATGGTACTTGGGTTGGACTTTCATTTAGAAGGTTGTGAGTTTGAGCCTCAATGGCGTAGATATTACATTGATAGGTTTATAGAATACTATTATGTGTTTTGAATACCCCATCAATTGAAAAATTCATACCCAAATAAAATAAGGGTTTCATTTCCTTATTCATTTTTAAGCACTACTATTAGTAACCATTCCTATTTCACCCTACTACCAAACATGGTAAATACTTTCACCAAAACCCATTAATATTACCTAGTATTTGATACCCATTCCGATTTCGATTCCCATGTGCGAACCAAACACACCCTAAGTACTTTTTGCGTGACTTAGCTAATATTCTCTAAAGTAGTATCATCAAGTAATACTATAACAGGGCGTTTGGTTGGAGGGATTTTAAATTCCCTTCTCACTTAATTCCCACCTAATTCCAAAGGTCATTAAATTCTGTAGTTTGGTTGGAGGAAATTGCAATTCCATGGAATTGCAATTCCCCCATTTTCATGGAATTAAAATCCCATGTCCCCCCTGGAATTTTAATTCCTGGAAAAAAAAAGATAGTGATGAGTCAAAATTACCCCTTTCCTTTTTAACCTAAAATTAATGTCTAACAACAATAATGGACATTTTTGACTTTATACTACTTATTCCCTTTCAATTCCCATGTATACCAAACATTGGAATTGAAATTCCCAGTAATTCTATTTCTGTCAACCAAACACTGGAATTTAAATTCCCACTTTATTCCCAGTAATTCAACTCCCATGAAATTACAATTCATTTCCCACATAATTCCCCCTCCAACAAAACGCTCTGTAAGTGTTCAAAAAAAGTAAAAACTTCACAAAATATAATACATTAACTACTATTTAATCACATACTGCGTTGGAAATTTATATAGTAATAAAGATTAATGTTTCAGATAGATTATCATGAAAGCTTAAATAATTTTTAGAATTGTAGAGTTATAAATATTATTTTAATTGAGTAAAAGTTAATTAAAATACAGAGAGAAATTTATCGTTTACCACGGAAGGATTAAAACAAATCTTCCGGATGACTTTTGATTGAACCAAAGGATGATATTTGCCGCTTTGCATGAATCGGAAGTTTACCGATTTGCGGATAGTGTAAGGTTTACCGACTTGATTTCGGCAAATAGCATGTGTGCTGGGTTTGAATCAAAAGCAGCACGTGTGTTGTGCATATTTGCCGCTTTGCATGAACCGGATGTTTACCGGTTTGCGGATAGTGTAAGGTTTACCGACTTGATTTCGGCAAATGCCAAATAGCATGTGTAGTGCTGGTTTTGAATCAAAAGCAGCACGTGTGTTGTGCTTACTTTTCATGTTTCCCATGCAAAACTTTTGAGCTTAGCAAATATTATATATATATAATTCTTGGAAAGTCATTTACATGTGGTTCATAGCATTTCAAAGGTTCATATTATGTATATATATTCATGATCAACATGACCGTAATTAATTTTCTCTCATAATAAATATATCTTTTAAGATATATTTTATGAAAGTTGAGTTTTAAATTGCAATAATTTCCATGTAACTTCTCCAAACAGTTATATTTATATCTATAAATATATTAGAGAAACGTCTGGAAGATACACAAGCAATAGAATTCCATAATACTGAGATATTTCACAGTTCTTCAATTCTACAGAAAATCCTTAAACAAAGCAACTTAAGAATTTCATTCATCTTCTTGTATCTCATAAGATTAAATATTGAACCTTGTTACTTTATATGAGAGATATTTAAAGCTTATAGGAAAGTGATTACACACTTTGAAGATTTCATCTCCTCACTTCCCTTCCTGTTCATATCCCATTTATCTAACATAATGTCACAATTAATTGACGATACTAGTTAAGACTTATCACGAAAAATAAATGATAATCTAAGGACTATAATAATGAAGTAAGAATGAAAAGAGTACAATAGAAAACATAATTGGTAAGTAAAATATGTATTCCATAAGAAAATTCAATTTCAAGCAAGAGCACTTGTCATCAATTCATTACATGTAATTTCTTTGACTATTTATATTTTATACCTATCTACAAGGCAGATAAAAGACACAATATAATAACAATCTTGTACACTGAGTGGTGTCTAGCTCAAGTAACAGATAGTAATAAGGGAGCGTTTGGTTCACGGAATCTTGGATTACCTCCAGGGAAGTAATGTGAGATTTTGAGAATGTAAGGGTGTGTTTGGTTGGTGATTTTTGTCCATAAGAATGGGTATGAAAGTGATTGTTGTTGTTTGGTTGATAGGTTTTTAGAACACTACTATGGGTTTCGAATACCCCATCAATTGAAAAATCCATACCCAAATACAATAAGGGTTTCATTCCCTTATTTATTCTCAAGCACTACTATTAGTAACCATTCTCATTCCACCCTACTACCAAACATGTTAAGGGTGTGTTTGGTTCGCACATGGGAATCGGAATCGCAATGGGTATTTTATACTTTGTAATGGTAATGGGTTTTGGTGAAAGTATTTAACATGTTTGGTAGTAGGGGGTGGAATGTGAATGGTTATTAATAGTAGTGTTTGAGAATGAACAAGGGAATGAAACCCTTATTTTATTTGGGTATGAGTTTTTCAATTGATGGAGTATTTGAAACCCATAATAGTGTTCTAAAAATCTAGCAACCAAACAATAACAATCACTTTCATACCCATTCCTATGGACAAAACCCATCAACCAAACACACCCTAAATACTTTCACCAAAGCCCATTACCATTACCAAGTATTTGATACTCATTCCGATTCCGATTCCTATGTGCGAACCAAACACACCCTAAGATTACCTTATGTATTTGGTTTGGATTGTATAATATAATATTACTTTGTTTGGTTAAGGGTTATATTTTAGGTTATATGGATCAATTTACAATAAGGTCGTCAATAATATATATATATATATATATATATATATATATATATATATATATATATATATATATTTATTTATTTATTTATTTATTTATTTATTTATTTATTTATATGTATAAATGTATATCAATGCTTAAATATTAAAAAAAAAAGCTAAATATATAAATATACACACATGTATATTTGATTATATAAATATATATTTATTTCATTATTATTATTATTATTATTATTATTATTATTATTATACAAGGATTTGTTAACAAGGGCAAAGTTGGAATAATTCAAGGTAATCACATTACCTTGAAACATTACTGTCGCATAAGCTTTCAGGTAATATAACATTATCATGTAATCTCATCATTTAACCAAACAAGGTAATAAAACATTACCAGACTCAAATTACCTAGATAATCTAAGATGACCTGAACCAAACGCCCCCTAAGAGTAATATTCCAAATTTCACTTCATTAATTAACACTAATATTTTTGGTCTCCTCCCAAAATGTTGAATCTTCAACCTAAGGTCATTCACATCCCCCGACAGAGTATTTAGGAAGATGAAATTACTGTGACTCAATGGCTCAAATGAATCTGTCCATTTTGAACATAATAATCTCACACTAACGCTGTCGAAGTTTAAAACTTGGTCTCTTAACTTATCTCAAATAGTGTCTACCGAACCAGTAAGCTAAACCGGTGCCGGATATTTTTGATCCTCTTACTAACTATCTAACAAGGAGTATCTCAGTAGTCTCTAAGGGCGGCAAATCTGATCCATTGACATTGAAGCGCAAGATCGAGTTTAACAAATTAAACAACTTAAATTTGCAGGTCAAATGAATGGTAATAAACTATAATATAACACTGAAGTCAAACACTGAAAACTGATCAAATTCAACCCACTGGAGCATCTAAACCAGCAAAAGCCAATCACCCAAAGCTCGTGCAATCACGTCTATTCTATATACTACTAGTTTGTAACATAACACCTCCAAAATGTTAGCCAAAATATATTAATTCCAAAATAAAAAGAGTCACTCCCAAAACAATAGAGTCGTGCTCACCATCTTGTCATTCCCCTCTATATTAACAATATAATTCATTCCTTTTAATTATCTAAACCAAATCTACTTTTCTTTCTCAATTTATCTCCTCCAACCTAGCCATGGCGGCTGCCGTAATCATCATCATGCCGCTTCTCGGCATTATGGGTTTCGTCCCAACCTTAAACGCCGCCGCCGACAAGGCAACCTCCATGAACGTCATAGACTCCTGCTGGCGCGCCAAGTCGAACTGGGCGTCCAACCGCCGCGCATTGGCCGACTGCGGCGTCGGGTTCGGGAAAGACGCCGTCGGCGGGAAGTATGGCAACACGTACGTGGTGACCGATCCGTCGGACAACCCCGGGAACCCCAAGCCCGGCACGCTTAGGTACGGCGCTATTCAATCGGCGCCGCTGTGGATTATGTTTGCTAAGGATATGGTTATTACGCTGAAGAATGAGCTTATGGTGAATAGCCATAAGACCATTGACGGGAGAGGGGCGACGGTGGAGATCGCTAATGGGCCTTGCATCACCATCCAAGGCGTCACCAATATAATCATACATGGAATTAGCATGCACGATTGTAAGCCCGGGAAGTCCGGCACCGTGAGGGATACTCCCACGCATGCCGGCCGCCGTCGCGGCTCCGACGGCGACGCCATTTCCATCTTTAGTGCCTCTAACATTTGGATTGATCATTGCTACCTTGCACGTGCCGCCGATGGCCTCATTGACGTCATTCATGGCTCCACGGCCATCACCATTTCTAACAACTATTTCACTCAACACGACAAAGTAAGCTTTTTTAATTTGTTTTCCCTTTTCTTTTTTCTTGCCACAAAGATGAAATCCTCGTCTCAAGGGTCGAAATTATAGAATTTCCAGCCACCTGAAAGTGATCTTAGATTAAGTAGAAAGCAAAAAGTGGTCGAAAATAGCGACAAAGATTTTTCGACACCAAAAGTGGTCGGAACAAGTCTTTCGACTTGATTTAAGATCACTTTCATATGATCGGAAATTTCAGAATTTCTAGCAGTGGGTTCCCATACCCCAACCAAGTAGATAGTAGAGTAAATTATGGTGACTCAACAGCCTCTTAGGCAGGAGGACCAATCCTTATATCTACAAAAAGTTCTGCACATTTGATCATGATCTTATGTTGTTACTTAGCTAGTAAATAACTTTCTAAAACGGCATGGACTGGCAGGTTATGTTGTTTGGGCATAATGATAACAACGTAGAAGACAAAGCTATGAAAGTGACAGTGGCGTTCAATCATTTTGGCCCCGGTTTAATTGAAAGAATGCCTAGGTATATGGCATAACTTCATTTTTTTGTAACATTATTGTTATGTAAGAGATTTTTTATGTTGTTAATAATAGCTGATATCAATAGGATTGATACAATTAGTTATAGTGTATATAGTCATAGTTATTTGATATATATGTGTGTTTGTGTGGATGTATATATACAGGGTGAGACTAGGTTATGCTCATGTTGCTAACAATAGATACACTGGATGGTTGATGTATGCAATTGGTGGGAGTGCAAACCCTACCATTTTTAGTGAAGGGAATTACTTTATGGCACCTAATAAATCCGAATCGAAGCAAGTAAGTATTCTGTGTTGACTCCAACTTTCATTCTTTTTTATTTATGAAAAAGTTGGCAATTATTATTAGCTCTAGTGGCAAAAAATCACAAAAAGGTAAACTATGTGTGTTATCCATAACTGCTTGGTTCAAACAAACAGTTTCCATAGAAAATTAAATTTGAAATTTTGTTGTTATTAAGTTAATTGTTTAACTGTATACATTAAAACGAAAAACAAGTAAAAGTGAAATATGTTGTATATTAATGAAATGCAAATGGTTGATGAGAAGTATATATATTAATAGGTTACAAAGAGGGAGGTAAAGAAAGGGTGGTCGAACTGGAAATGGAGGTCGTCCAAGGATAAATTTCTAAATGGGGCATACTTCGTACCTTCCGGATATGGAAGCTGCGCGCCGTACTACACGAAATCTCAGTCGTTTCCGGTGGCCGACGGGTCGAGGGTTCCGGCGCTCACGGCGGACGCAGGGCCGCTGAGATGCTCTTACTCCTCCTCCAAATGTTGAAAATTTGTGACAATATATTTAATTTGTGTGTTTTTAATTAATTAATTAATTTGTCCCACACCACTACACCATGTACCATTCATGCATGAAAATGTTTAATTTATTAAAATATTGGGAATGAGTGGAGTTTGACACCAGTTTTTTTTAAAAGGTGATTGAGCTACGCATGCACTAATCATGCTTGTCTTGAACTTTAGGGTTTTTAAGCTTTCTATCCTTCATTCGTAACAATGTTAGATACTAAAAAAGTAAGAGATGTAACTTATGATGTAATTTGGAAAAGAAATATTGACGGGCGTAATAAAAACGACATAATATATGATTTGATTATTATTCGGTCTATTTTTTCTTTTTCTTTTTTTTTTTTTTTGTTAAAATTATTGTTCGGTCTATAGTTTAATTTAAGAATTTTATTCAACTTTATTTAGTTCTCCAAATTAAAACCTAATTGAAAATTTTGATTGGTAAAAATCTCATACTAAAATTAGTTAAACTCATGTTTCGTCTCCTAGAACTTGCAAATTATATTGCAGAACTCGGGGTTTATCTTGCAATACAAGTAAGTTCGTTTTTATCATACTACACAATAGGGTGTGTTTGGTTCGCACATAGGAATCGAAATCGGAATGGGTATCAAATATTTGGTAATGGTAATGAGTTTTGGTGAAAGTATTTAACATGTTTGGTATTATGGTGGAATGAGAATGGTTACTAATAGAAATGCTTGAGAATGAATAAGGGAATGAAACTCTTATTTTATTTGGGTATGGGTTTTTTAATTCATGTGGTATTCGAAACCCATAGTAATGTTCTAAAAACCTATGGGCAAAACCCACAAACCAAACACACCCTATATTTAGTATATTGTTATATAAACTCCGTTCAGGATATAACAATTGCGAAAAACAAAGAAACCTCATTCAAAAATGAAATCATCATTATTATGTTTTGCAATCGTTATAGCGTGCACCATGATCCTAAATGATGTAGTTTTGAATTTTAATTTTGACGGCAACCGTTTGTTATTCAATTTACATTATATTACATTTTTTTTTAAATACTGTAAAGCATTCGTATGTGTCTTGTGTTATGCGTTTTTGCGTCTCATGTTATGAATTTTTGTACCATAAGCGTATGGATTCTATACCTGAAATAAGAAAATATAACATGCGTTTTTGTATCTTGTGTTATGCATTTTTGTGTCTTATGTTATCCAATTATGTACCTTAAGAATATTGATTATGTACATGTACTAAAGTAAAAAATATAAAACATGTGTAAATGTCTTGTGTTATGCGTTTCTGTGTTTCATGTTATGCAATTCTGTCCTTAAGCGTATGGATTCTGTACCTGAAATAGATTAGTAGTTGTGTAACACACAACATATTGTGTGTCTTATTTTACGAATTTATGTCTTGTATTATGAAATTATGTGCCTATAAGACATATATTATCTACATAAATTGATTTGAAAATAAATAAATATATATATATAACATATATATGTGTCGTGTATTGTGAATTTTTATGTCTCGTGTTATTTTACGAATTTATGTATTGTATTATGAAATTCTCGTGATATAAATTGCATATGTTTTCTCTCAAAATAAAAAATAAAAGAATTGCCTATTTTTTTGGATTTGGGCCTATTAAAAATTCTAATCCTAACTTTCAGAGTCGGTCATCATGCAATCCAGACCACACAATCCAACTACACATATAACGTAATTATAAAAAAATGTTGTGTTCCTGGGCCAAAAAATCCATCAGTTAATTTGTGTACAAGTTCATTTTTTGAATGTGTGTATATTATTTGGATACTAAAAATACAATATTTTATATATATTATCAAATAATATAATGTACTTTTAATATATAAATAATGTACTTTTAGTATATAAAAAATGTACCTAATATTCATGATCCACACATTTATGTGAACCATAGTCTACACAATAATTTGCCCTCTACACAAAGGTTAAGTTGGACAGTGTAAAGAATGTTCACATTTGTCATCAGAGCATATATTTTGCAATAGTTGATTATTCAAATAAACTAATAGTTTAATTTTACTAGTAATTGACTAATTATATTGTTCGATCTCCTAATTATCTCTTTCACTAAGTTTTTAGCACAAGAGCCCTCGAAATCATAGTGTAATTCTTTAAGAATGTGCATGTTCAATCTTCAATTGGGTAGTACTAGGGTTAATTTGCAGCTAAAACGTAACCTTAGGTTTATTTAGTATAGTTAGGTTTGATTAATAAAAAAATTATCAAGTGTTAATGTGATGTTTCTTTGATATGATCCTTGCCTTTTGTCGCATCCAAACACTAGCTTTTTTCTTTGTTACATCATTGAAATTTGTCTATTACTGACTATTTTTTCACTAATAAAAATAGGAGGAGATAATAATTAATTAGTAAAATTTTCAAAAGTTTTGACCATCAAAAATGAAAAATAAAAAATAAAAAATTTTGAACGATCAACTCAAAATTTGAAAATTATTGACAAACAATAAAATAGGTCTATTTCCGATAATGTCATTTTATTCCTAACCTAATATTTCATGAACCAAACATTTGTAAGTTTTTTAACAATACAAATATAATGTTGCGCTGCTATCTTTTCTTGTTTCCTTCTAATCTTATTTAATTGACAATAATACTGATCTAAGCACAATGCAATATATATGAAATAGTTCAGAATCTTATAATATAATCACCCATATAAAGTTTGATCGGTGAGGGCATCTCTTCTCAGATATGATTAACTTATTGCGTTATATATATGCTTAATTAGCTTTGAGCTTTCACATAAGTTGAATGGTCCCATTCAGTAGCCATATATGCCTAATTTTCTTGGGCGTTCTAGAAGGATGCTTTGAAAACACTTATATATGGAGTATTATTTGGATTCAAAAATAAATAAATAAATAAATACAAAAAGGTCTCCACTTTCCATTAAAAAAAAAATAAAAAATAAAAAATCCCTTCAAAAGGCCTCAACTTGTGTACTTATGCCATCCTGCATTAATTTATTTTAGGTGATGAAAGAAAGTTACAATTACTATCTAAAAATGTAATAAGTAAACATCACTCTTATATAATAGCTTACAAATCACACAGAGGAGTAAATTACACTTAAAAATTATAATAAATTTATTTTATTTATATATAATACATATATTTTACTTAGATATCACATCGTAAATTAATTTATAATAAGTTACATTATTATCAAATCAAACAAAATATTAATGTGGTGAAACACTATCCAATGAAAATGGTGGTGTGAAAATTGAAACGTATGTTAGTTTGTAAACTCCCTACGGTATACGCAATGTTGAATAGCTAATACCTAGTCAAGATTAGAAAAAGTGGGTGTGTTCTCACGACCTAGATAGCAAGCTACCTAAAAAATGGAAGCAATAATTAAGTCTATGCTTTTTCTTTGCTTTCGACAACTTGGTCCGACACATCAACGTTGCACCTGCCAAATTTCAACTTTTGTAGCTTTCCAATCTATTGTTCCATGCACACGAGACTAATAGTTAACAATTGAAGTACACATACATGCATATATACCACGCACTCTAAAAAATCTATAATTTTTGTATAAGAAAATTGTGAATTTTTTTTTTTATTTGAATTTGAGATTATAATCAAAATATTATATTGTTCTCGCGACACGGCTCAACTGGCTAATTACTAATTCAAAATAATTTCATAAAATTTATTTTACTAACAAGATTTAATTTATTATCTCCACTACTTTCCAAGACTAATACATCATGGCCCTGTTTGGTAAACAGTTGTTAGCTGTTAGCTTATCGGGTTAATTAGAAGGTATAACTAGTTGATAGCATTAGCTGATTCTAGGAAGGTGTTTGATAATTAGTTGTTAGCTGTTAGCTATTTGTTGTTTGTTATAATTTCCTTTCTTAAAAAGTTAATTGAGAGTGGTTCAAAACAGCTTTTTGAAATTTAGCATTTTGTAGTTAATTTTTTAACTAAATTAAACAATTAATAGTGGTCAAATAAATCAAAAATTAGCTAATAGGCTACTATTTTACCAAACTGGGCATATAGTTCATATTTGTTGACGAAGAAAACATAATGTCGACACACTGATTGAAAGTAATACACATATATGCCTACCTTCGATTACGTAAATGTTTGTGTAATTATTAATTAATTAACGAGTAATTATAGAGACAGATGTACTTAGACGATGATTATTATGATTTTAAACGAGGAGGATTAGGTATTTGAAAACCTTGTTTTGGACTCTTCTCTTTCTCTCTCACGGACTCAACACACAGCGCACACGGACTGGAGTTGAAGTCTTAGCTTGAAGATAAGTGCAGTGGAAAATGGCATTTCAAACTTCTGTTGTTGACTATAAGATATACTCTTATTGGATTATATTAGACATCATCACCACTTTAATTTGCAAGTTATTATGTTAATTGGTTTCTGATACAACCTATGGAAATGCTCTTCTTCAAATCAAGAGCTAAATTTCAGAAAAGAAGAAGAGACATGTTTGTGCTTCGAGAGACAGTCCAATTCCAAATGATTATGTTTCAAGTAGCAGTCTAATTTCATAAAAGGAGATAAAGAAGATATTGTCACCCGACAATTTCAATATATTCTTCAGTCATTTCTTCATGAAATACATAGACATTTATTTATACATGATAATAAGTATAATTTTATAAAGTACAAAATATGTCAAAGACCTTGTGTTTAAGCATGACTGCATGTGGAGCCGTGGGGGCGGTGTTGACTTATTGGGCTTCAATAGATTGAGAAAGTATATATAAACAAATATTACATGTAACATGGTCAATCATACTAAAAAAAGTACAAGTATACTACATCCACATAAGCTACATAAGATAAATTGGGATAAAATATAAAACTTGAGTGAAACTTATAAATCTAATTTTTGTGGTGTAGTTTGAATTTGGCTATGTATAACTTGTAGATTATTGAATAATTACATATCATATTATTAATTAAAAAGGTATAATTAAAATGTGAAACTTATAATCTAATTTTTGTGGTGTAGTTTGAATTTGGATATGTATAACTTGTAGATTATTGAATAATTATTACATATCATATTATTAATTAAAAAGGTATAATTAAAATTCTTTTTTTGTAGTTGACTTCTTGGGAGCGGTCTATTGGTTTTTTTATTTTATTTTATTTGAGTCAGTCAATTATGACAACTTAACATGTTTTACCTTATTGTGATCCTTTGCCAACTAATCAAGATTACAAGGTGAGATTAATTA